GCATGTGCCACATCTGCCGCATTCTTGTCCTGGGCTAGTGAATAGAACCGGGACCCAGCGTACTACTTGCGAAGTGCTGACACTTACCCGTCGTCTCTTCGATATTAGACCATCGTGACGACGTCGATGACCGCGACAACACCAGTTCGGCTGAGGCGCACGTGACCGCATGTGTTACTGCACTAGGTGCTTGACATCTATTGGCCAGGCTTCATCGGCGCCTATCTCTTGCGAACTCAGCGCCTTTCTCATGCACTTGGGCAACAACCTTTTTGATGTGATCACGCCACTGGCAGCGATGCACTACAATTTCATTCTGCACATAATACTGTCAGCGTTAATTCGGGATGAATTCACTTTGCTCATGTTCTGATATCGTACCTTCTCCATAACCACACTTCGAACCCTTGTTCTCAATTGGGCGCGTAGCATATTTTCGACGGATATGTCTGAGCCATTTCAGATGCCGCAGCAGAGATATGTGGTCCACTTCATACATGCCGATACGGCGGAGCACTTCCATGTCAGACATTCTGCCTCACAGAATCCGACACAATCATTGCTGCTAGCATCGCTGCAAATATCGGATGCCCTTTTTACAGTGTCCATGTTCCGCCGTCGTAAAGAAGAACTGACAGCACCGTTTATTTGTACTCCATCAGCTTGGTCCCAATGGTCAGCTGATGACTTCTAAACCCGTTGCTCCAGCTTGCCAGATTCAGCACCCGCCTTCGATACGCGGTTGTGCAGATCACTTTCATCTGCAGGTCTGTGGACAGCATACTCCCGAGGTAGCAAAATTTTGGTGTGGCTTCCAAAACATCATAAGCCAACTGCATTTTGGGGCAGCCCACAGATTCTACTATTGGTGACCTCCGAGAAGGCCGATGGTGTTGCTTGCTTTGATGGTAAGTCTAAATTTTGCCGCCGACGAAGCGAGAGTTATCGTCATAGGTTGCAACTTATTTTCGCTGTGGGCAAGCTCAATCATCCCGATGGTTATCTCACGTGTGGCACGATAGCTGGTGTTTTCCACCTCTAGCTAACCTGTGTAATGAATGGTTGTCTCACGCCTGGTGTCATCACCCCGAGGCAACGGATGTTCAGCAACCCACCATCCCTACTGTGCCCCCCAGGGACACTGTAATCCCAAGCATTGAAAGCACAGGACGTCATGGCAGTTAGACAGGTGATAGCCAGAACAGGGTCCATGATGCAGACTTACTTCACAGCTGAATCCTTGCCCGCTTACCACTGTGCAGTGGTTCAATAAGTCTCTCAAACTCGCCTGGGCAACAAATTTACTCTACTCGAAGCACAATGCCTTGTGCTTCACAGTGCTAAATGCCATAGTATATTCGGTGAAGAACAGGTGCAGAATATATATATATATATATATATATATATATATATATATATATATTTATTATTCCTTCTATTATTATTATACATATATATATATATATATATATATATATGGTTGGCGGCATCCGGTTTCGGATTTGCCTGTCACTGTGGCCAGCCACAGGACGCCTGCGCCTACAGAAGGACCATGGATGGCTTGCGCTGCACCACCAACAGCTCCATCCACACACCCCATATCCAGTGTAAACCCGAAGGAATAAGACCGGGAGGCATGCGGATGGGAGCCACGTTTCATCAACGGAGCCGGCCCACACTCCTTCACAGGCAAACACAAGCACACTGTATTTATGAATCAAGCGCACACAAGGCGGTGGCTGGACCGTAGTCCGCTCCACACTGAGTGCATGGAACCACTCTTCGAGCCTAACACGGCCACAAGGACCGTGCATCCCGTCCCCTCCAGCAACGACCAACTGTCTCCTGGAGCCAGTATGGACGAGGTAGTGGGTAATAGACAGGTAGGCACCTTGTCAACATGCACATCAAGCGCAGCCACACCGGGGATATCAAACAACAGCCAAACACTTGAGAGGGGGGAAAGAAAAAGAGAAATACTCGATTACTGCATAAGGAAACGGTGACATAAACCTTAATTAAATAGCATATGTAATAAATTGTTTACAAACAAATTCTTGCTAAGTGCACGAAGTCAGGAAGTATAGTTCACGGTATGCCACGTACACAAAAATGTTATGGAAATCGAATACAATTGGCTGAAGCGATGTGTGCAAGTTAATTGAATAGAGTACATGGAGATATTCATATGAGAAAGAAAAGCATTAAGGCACAAACTGTAAACCCACCACCTGAAATAAAGAGACTTAGCATGCAAGCACGCGGTTAGTAAATCGAATTCAGCGTGCCTACAAACGCTGCGCCGGCTCGTCGTAATTCTCTGCAGGACCCGTCGTCGCTTCTGTAGTGGCCCCAAATGGCACAGCGCATTGCCCACTAGACATTTATATGAGAAAGAAAGGCATAAGAAGAGAACCGAAAACCCACCACCTGAAATAAAGAGACTTAGCATGCAAGCACGCGGTTAGTAAATCGAATTCAGCGTGCCTACAAACGCTGCCCCGGCTCGCCGTAATTCTCTGCAGGACCCGTCGTCGCTTCTGTAGTGGCCCCAAAGGACCTAGCTCATGGCCCACTAGACATTTATATGAGAAAGAAAGGAATTAAGAGAGAATTGAAAACCCACCACCTGAAATAAAGAGACTTGGCATGCAAGCATGCGGTTAGTAAATCGAATTCAGCGTGCCTACAAACGCTGCGCCGGTGCTACCTACGTTCACTGCGGGACCCGTCGTCGCTTCGGCAGTGGTCCCGAGTGACCTCTCTCATGGCTCACTAGGCCTGCCTGACTAAGGCACTCGCGACCGCATGTTCTACAGCACAATGCGCTCGGTGTCGATGGAGTACAATTCATCGGTGCTTGCCGCTTCCGCAACTGCCGCTTCTTCTCTGCATGCATGAGGGATTTCTCTCGCACCTCAGCAACTGCCTTCGTGATTAGATCGCGCCACGCACGCCGATCAATCGCCTTCGATTCCCATGATTTTAATCATGTATATATATATATATATATATATATATATATATATGCATGATTACTCATATTAGTTTTGCGTACTGCCCTTTTGAAAACAACAGTAGCCCGTGCTGCCCTCGTGAGGTCTTTGATTTGACATTCCTATTGTAGGCAGTCTTCAACTTACCGGCGATTGAAACTGTGTGCGGTGTCTAACGTCCATACTGATTCACTTTTGAGCTTGCGAAGAAACAGCAGAGGTCCGAGTAGATTTTTTTAGATAACACTTCTGGTGATTAAAGTTAAGAAGTAGTTGGGTCTGAAAACGACTACTAAACTATTGCGAAAACCATCTTTTTCAGCAACCGCTTATTAAACACTCGATTTAATACTTCTCTGTACATTCGAAATTAGAACTATGATCATATAGCCAGTGTCAATGATATCCGATATACTGTATAGATAATACTTTGCAGGATCAGCTGTCAATGATGTTATGCTAAGGCTTTTCTGTCAGCTTAATCGAATTGATATATTTCATCACATTCTTCTTAACTACTTATGGATTTGACGATTATCTATTTGCGACCACCCATTTGATGAGAACGAGTCATTGATTTTACAAAGCCATATTTCAAGACCCCAAGCATCATCCCATCGCTTCGCGTCCAGTTTTAATGGCTGAGTTGGAACCCCAACCCACTGGTCTTCTTAGCCTGTAAATGACACGTTATTTATGAAAGAAGCACTCTGATTGTCATGGTGGTTTTCACCGGTTGTTTTCTGTTAATGAGCTTTTTAGCTTTGCATCCGTCCATCTCTTAAACTAAGCTGCTTCCTTTGATTGTGTCTTGTTTTTTGCATGTCCACCTGGACCAACCAAGTCGCTGTGTCGTTTTCCGTTACTGGGCTGCTTCTCTTAGTATTCAAGGTGACCAAACCATCCCCTTAAATGTACTAGTGTGCACCATCCTCTTCAAAGGGAATCGCCGTGTGTATGTTATGTCACCTATCAGAGTTCCTTCGATATGGCCCATAGCATGGTTGCTGATGCCGGATCTTCTGTTTCCAACAACTGATGTTTTCCATCTGCTGGTCCCATTTTCCATCCGTCGTCAGGGTCTTTACTTTTCCTCATCACCGCGGCGTAATATTTGACAGCTCTGCCTTGTGTACTCTGTTTTCTACACCATAGTTATCAAACCACATCGAACTTGCTCTTACCGACGTTATCTGGTACTACTTCTACTATGTGATATTCAAGTCGAAATTTAGACTGACCGGTGGTTGAACATTTTTTCAACGGGATTCGGTTTAACTAGGTTATTTTTGAAACAAGAAATTCCCTCTGTAATTCCGAACAAGAAAATCCGATGACCTCGTCATATCGTGCATTCTTGTCAATCAGAATTATACAGTAGTGATGGATAAACCGAAACAGTATCATAAGAGATGATAGATTGCCAAAGACTAGCGCTACCAGTGTAGGATTAAGGTCACATTCAGTTGCTTTTGAGTGCATAGCGGTGAGCGTTCACGATCGATAACGATGACTTCCAGCAGCCTAAGAACCCTGGGCGGCTTCTCTCGCATTAGGACTGTGAACGACTTATCAACATCGACTCGGTGGCCAGTGGTCAGCAAGTGCCTTGTAGCTGCTGAGGCAGCTGGGTTTCCCGATTCAACCACAGATCCCATCCGGCTGCAAAGCCGCTTGGAGATATGTACATTGATTCTGACACCTAAACTTCGGTCAGTGTACGCAACGTAGCTGACTCAACAGCAATTCTATGTGCACTGCGTCATCGTCCGTGTTTTGATTGAACACATAAACAAAGTTCTCGTAGAGGTAAGCAGCTCAGGTCTGCCGCATTGTACGCCCATTGTGTGTTTAAATGGCTGTACGCAACCTTACTTTGGACCAGAATTCACTTTGAACTGAACTACAACTGTGTTCTCCCTCGGTAGCACCTTTTCCATTTATTTCTCTTGCTGCCTATGGCTTCTGTTCTAGCTTATTCCATTGGTTTCCCCATTCGTCTAGGTCGCCAGTGGTTTGGGCCCTACAGCTGTCCACGAGTACTGCAATTTGGTCTTACAATGCGTACAATACCCACTGTTAATGAAACAGATCACTACCAAGGTGATTGATTACTTCAACAACCTCTCCTCCCAACCAGCCACCACAGGTTCATCAGTACAGCCAGATCACCCAGGTAACACAGTTCCATCACTGCCTGTGCAGTCCGGAACATCGACTTATCCCCATTGCAGTCCGCCCAAACACACCGAACTGCAGGCTATGCATCCGGCACACTTTTATCCTCTCACTTATCCCACATATCCTTATCTGAATGGGAAATCCGCAATACCCCCTCCTGGTACGTGGACAATGCAACCCACCGCTACTGGTCATGACGCTCTTTCCCTGCACAGTCAGACCAATTACACTGCGGCAGCTGCTCCTCCTCCTCCTCCTTACACAATGCCTTCCCCCATGTGGACGCCGGTCTATGGTCACAGCTCGGTTGAGGCACCCCATTTGAAACAGGGCCAAATGAATGAGATGTTCATCGCCCGTTTTCAACAAATCGGATCATCACCGGAATCTCTGCAGTGCAACAACAGTGGGTTACTTTTGAACGGTCAGCTCGGTCAGGCGGCAACCAGAGTAGACGCGCAGCATCCCATCTACGGACCGCCGTCGCTAATCGCTGCTCCTAACTGGAACACAGTCAGCCAAACGCCTGTCCACTCGACTAACCACAACAATGCGACTCAAGCAAACGCATGCAACACTTTGTCACATCCGGTGGCGCACGATTTGCAGACCAGTGGAAGAGAGTTGGTCGAGCGGCTCATCAACCGAACTCATGCGCTGTGAGTTTTGGACCTTTGTCATTTTTTACCCCTCGAACCGTTTTTCTCCCTTGATAAATACGGAGTTCCGGCTTTCTTTTGTCAAATTTAATCGCTACATCTAACTTCTCTGTTTTTAATCTCCTTGATTGAAAATGATCGCCGATTTTAAGCAGTCTACGATTTACAAGCCTTTTCATCCTTGTTGTCCCAAGCAGTGTATTCACAGCTCCATGCTGTTGACTGATACCAACTTCCTAATAAACATAAGTGGTGATTTTTGCTGCCCGTATGGGGCACCCATAGTGTCAAGATGGAGAAGTCTCTCGACAGGATAGCCTGAACTCAACACCTGTTTGTTCTACCTGTGGTTAACACTGGTCAGACAGTACCTACAATCGCTCGGAAAGCTGAACCAGAAACCCTTACCCCCTTTGTCCATAAAAATGACATCAACAATACACTGTAATGACTCTTCACTGCCACGCAACTACTACCAGTTACGCGTGGACTAATGATGGTACGAGGGTCGCCCGCTCCTCGACGCAGGCTCGAACCCGCGACCTCCGGGTTGCATAACATGCGTCTTGTCCTTTGGGCCACGGGCAGCCATTCACCGTCCGTGTTCTTACGATGTTTGCGTGTGATGAGCATACTATTCACTGACAGGCGGATTAATGGTCGCACACTTTATTCTTCTTCTCACATCAGTAAGGCACCTATAGAAGTATTGTGGGTGGTTTGTTGACTTGCTTTCCTATTGTTCCTGTAAACAAGAGCCGAATAGTGTCGAGATCTGTTGCTACTAACGCACCTGAGAGTACTCTGCACACGGCGGACATCTGAGTCTCTGGCCATGCTTATCGAAGCGATCGGCTTCATTCATATCAACAGTCATCACTTCAGTGTTGACGCTTCGCTGTCGTGTAGCCTTGGTACAAGAGGGAAAGTGGTGCTGGTTGATTGCGGCATGAACGTAGGCGAGCAGACATCCAGATCCGTGCTCATATCTCAGGAACGCCGTACCGTCACGAACGGTATCGACGCTGACTTTTTCACTTCCCTTTCACGATTGACATTGTTGCACAAATAACTCCTTGATAGCAACAAGAGCCACTGACAAACCGTCGGACCGCCTAGATTCCGGCTTTCAGGGGTGCAAGCAAACTAACAACGCTTAGTTTTTTTGGTATTTTTTGTTGTCGCAACCACCACACGTCCGAAAAAGGTTGGACAGTCGTTTCGTTCTTTTCGGATTCCTCGGTGGCGCACAACTTTTCTAGGTACCAACCCCTCCCGCTACACTTTCATAGCATGCATGACCGCGTGATGAGTCACATTGTATTGTATTGTAAGTGCTAATCAAAGGCCTCCCACCGCTCTCTAATAAGCAAGAATTGTCTCAGCAACTTACATGCTACCTCGATAGGTGGCGGCTTGCAAAGGTAGTGGTAGCTCTGGGGGCGAACTCTCTTCTCTACACTTCCCTAACATACTTCGCCGTTAGAAATCAGTCATGGTGATTCGCCGCGGCCACTTACGACTCAGTGTCACAAGTAAGAGTAAGCTCATAGGTTCAAATCCGGCAGAATTCAGCGGGTGCGCGCTACCTGCGAGTCCCTATGAGACACAACAGCAGTCTGGCATTTTTCCGTGTGTGTGGGGGTAAATCCATCCGCTTTATTTGTTGCCTTAGAGATGTGAACTGATCGTCAATGTTTGCTTTTTACTTGCAGATTCCGCCATTATGAATTACCTGTGGTACCACCTGATATGACCAGGGTTCTAAGGGCAACAACCATCTAAGAGAGCTAGACTTAACTGTGAACAATCTGTGTGTTCCTGGCATCAAGAATATTGCGGATCGATAAGGTTACTTCTAGCCTTGAGAACACGTGACCGAAGGGTGGTTGCAATCTACAACTTCCAAAATGGCACGATGTTTGTTCCCTGTTAATCATCTGTCTCCTATCCAACAAGGAATGCGTTTTCTGCTCATTTGCTTTATCAAGGCTAGTGTGTAGGTCCGGCCTTATTAAGTCACATGTTGTCTTTCTGGCGCACCACTTTTCGACTTGTATAGGCAGTGGGCGTGACGCTAGCATTGTTTGAGAAAAATTTTGCTTTCTTATCCAAAGAGTACATGCAAAAGTGACCTGTCGCCGTCCCCCTCATAAACGTGATCCACCGCTTCAAGTTTCTATTTCTCCCAAGGTAGAGTTCATAGAACTGGAGCTGAGTCTATGTGAATGTTGCAAGTAGCTCAGCCGCAGTGCATCATTGGTTACCTTTGTGGAATGTCTCTTCCTTGTCCATTGTCTGGTATTTGAAAGGATGCTTTAGCGTCAACACAGCCTAGGCTGACATTCTGGCTGCTGCGAACGGGTTTCGCAGCGGCGCGTCCAATAGGAACATCTGGAGTTACGGTTTGGGAATGGTGATGTGAGTGTGTGCAGTCAGCGTTGCGTACTTTCTCATACAACATGTCACTAGTCCTGACTCGTGACACATCCCCTTTTTCAAAACAGGCATCCTAATGTGCTGTCTGGAGCCTCACGTTGTCCATTCCATTAGGGCGATCAAAAACCGCCACCGCGCTCGCTAAAAATGTTAACAGCGATGCTGAGCTTATCGTGGTACCGCGAAGCGCACAGATTGGCTACCTATCGATCTTAAGTGACCTTGTTCCTCTTGTGCCTGCCGTTGGTAGCATGTGTGTTTGTGTGATTGTGCGGAAGCCACGAAACGAAGCCATCTCACAGCTGACCTCTTCAACTTTTCTTATTTGCTAGTGTAGCTAAATGTTCCCGTTTGGCAGCACTGCGCCACAGATGAAAATAATCTGAACGCGCTCCGATTCGTTGCGGTTTTAACTATCCGGTGTCTGAAGCCAAATCTATGCATGCAGCCTGACAAATGGGATCCACAACAATGTACATAGGCTTAACACCATCCCCAAACTTTACACGGTTTCGAAGTGCACGGGCACATCGGGTTTCTTGTGTTTACGTCCTATATGAACTAAATAAATAAATAAACGTTTATTCTTGACAATGCGAGACACATTCATATTGGCATGATCGGGTAAGTACGTACTTGTATGGAACGTTGATCACTAGCGGATCAGGAAAATTAAGAATCAGATGAACTAACCACGTTTGAAATGACAGCAAAGCCGTGATAAATGATGACTGAAATGAAATGATCTTGCCCTGGCCCTCAATCCCTCTCACATACCTTATTATAAAGCAGCTGATTCACAGAGGATAGTATGGTGGCGAAACATGTACTAGTTTATATGAGACCCTGAGGTGGAGGTTTCGGCTACTATTCCACTGGTCGCGGGTCCGAGGTCTGCTATCTCCAACTGATGAGATCTAATCCCAGCTCGAAGCGCGTCGTGGTTATGCAGCGTTTTCGGACGGGTAACACCCAATTTCCATCTGCTTTAGCTACTGTCCTTGGTGATCGCATTGACCAAAGTTCACTTGAGTGTGCATCGTGGTCTACATTGAGATTGTGCGTCGCAATCCAATCATACAACGTGTACTTCTAAATGGTCCACCACACCCGGACCCTGTTCATGCACTTGACTTGTGGTTATGAAACATTCACATGGTTTGGTCACATTCTGAACAGTCAAGAAGTTGTAATCTTTCTTTCTCTTTGTTGACAGATTCCACAAGTTTATTGATCAACGACTCCAGTACATTGGTCAAGGTCAGACAGAGTGGGACGATTTCGTCGACCTCATCCTGAAGGCGTACAACGTGCATCTACACATGCCTGCTACTGATTGTGGCCTGCACTGGAACCAACTGCTCACTCGAATCCGCAGACATCACAAGTGTGGTGCTGCGCTGTGGCAGCGCATCCTCGCTGGTATCCAAACAGCAGACTTGAAGCGTTCGGGTTGAGCACTCTGTGCTGTACCACCTTCCCACCACGAATTGTGTAGGCGAGATCGATGGCAAACATTCTTTTATCCTTCCCTGAACACACCATTTCTAAAAAGAACTCATTTTTCTCCACACTGATTTTGTATACCACTGTCCGTGCGTTGTCTATGGTCCAACACTGTCCCCCCCTCCCACGCCGCACTCTTGGTGTTTCACCAAATTCGGACGACCATTAACTCTTTTATTCCTTTTTATCTCGCATTTTTCTGTGAATTCGAAAAAACATTTGAAAGCACTCTCATTTTTCTTTCTACCGCTTCATCATTATCATTATACGCGTCAGCTAGAGGTATGAAACACCTCAGCTACTGTGCCGCAATCCATAAAGGAAAATAAATAAAACAGTTGCATGCCAGCTAAGCTACCAGCAATGGATAGGCATCGTTCCGGTAAGCTACCAGCTGGGCACTAGGTAAAAAGAAAAAGCATACTGTTTTACGTTACGAAATGAGATCGTGGGCGGAGGGGGAGGCTAAAAAGGGTGGGGAGGGACAAAGAAACCCACAGCAGGAACGCCACTGAGGTCGGTTCCTAGCCATGTCGGCAAGTGTATCCAGCCAAACGTGTTCACCCTCTTTTGGACCCCAACCAGGGAGCCGTGACGCTCCAACCGAGTCCAGCTCCGATGTGAGGGCCTTCATTCCCCTGGACTAAGCCATCGCTTGGCTACCTCTCCTCTTCTTCCATCCACATCCTCGGTGAGCAAACAACGCACATCGTGGAAGCCGGTGGGCTGACACGCGCAACACGTGGCCCAGCCATCGGAGCCTGGTGCGTGAAATGACGGTGCTGTGCGGTTCAGTTCCTTTTCCTGTGCCGTAAACAAGGCGTCGAACACGCTCGTTACTCACGCGGTGTTCTCACCAGCTGTGAGCCAAACTGTGAAGACACCGATGGTCGAACGTAACTAGCCTCTTCATGTCGGCTGTTCTAAGGGGCCAGGTTTCGCAACCGTACAGTAACCTCGAACGTACTGCTGCATTGTGCATTCTACCCTTCAGGACGAGAGTAATGTCGCACCGCCGCCATAGGTGGCGAAGGTTAGCAAAAGCACTTCGAGCTTTTGCTATACGATTCGTGATCTCGTCTTCGATCCCAAGGGCGCTGATACAACTTCCCAGGTAGTTGAATTTCCGAACGACTTCTAGCTGATCCCCACCAAGGGTCAGCGTAGCAGGCGATCCGTGCCAATTTTGGAGGAACGCTTTGCATTTCGATGGTACAAAGCAAAGCCCGAAGCGGCTGACAGCTAGTCTGTCCAGCGCGGCTTGGCACGTCTGGGAGCTGTCACAGATAAGGGCAATGTCGTCTGCATGCTCCAAGTCAAGAAACCGTTCTCTTGGTAGTAGCTCCACACTTTCCAAGTCATGTCCTGTAAATGCAATCTTCATGACTTCGTCAATAGCGAAGTTGAGGAGGAAAGGTGACAGCGGGCATCCTTGTCGCACAACGCTGGAGATATTGAAGGGTGGCGACAGCTTGCCGTAAGCCCTCACTCTGCCCGTGCTACGCGCGTATAATGCTCGGATACTATTTACATATTTCTCGGGCACACCTTTCCTGAGTAGACAATTCCAAAGGGCACATCGATCAACCGAATCAAAGGCACCTTCGATGTCGAGGAACACCGCAACGGTGGGCCGCCAATATGTCTGACGGTGCTCCAACAACTGACGCAAGGTGAAGATGTGGTCGATGCAGCCACGAAACCCGGATTGCTCTTCACGAATCTGGCTTTCACGAGTGCCAGTCAGCCTGCGATGAATTATGGAGACGATAGAGATCGGACCGATTCCTCTATGGTCGCCTCATTCTGAACGAGAGCCTCCTTTGAAGATGGGAACAATAACGGAGCGGCTCCAGTCGGTTGGGACAGTCTCCTGCTCCCATCGTTTCACTAGTAATTCATGTAAAGCATCAACAAGAGCAGAGTCTCCGAATTTGAAGAGGGCTGGAGGAAGGTCATCTGGTTCCGCGGCTTTGTTCAACTTCAACAGTCCGACCTCCCATTCGACTTCTGAGCCAGAGGGGGGATCCAAAGGGACATCCCACGAAGCAGGCCGATCACTGGCCGGCAAAGAATCGAACAATTCTAGCCGGTTAAATTGCTTTTCAAAATGCTTAGCCCAACACTGGAAGCGTTTGGACAAATTGTGGATAGGCTGTCCACTCTGGTCACGTATAGTTCCACTAACACCAGGTTTCCTGTTGCCGGTTTCCCGTATCAGACGGAATAACTTACGATGGTTTCCAAAGGCAGCGGCCAATTCCATCTCTGACACACGTTGAGACCACCAAGATTCGCGGTCTCTCTTCAGGCTAGCACGGAGTTTTGCCCGGAGCTCTTTGCGAGTTTCATTGTGTTCACTTCCAGCCGGGATATGCCGGCGAGCATCGATAAGTTCCAGAGACCGAGAAGAGACCCAATGTCCATGTTGGCGATTAGACACACCACATGAGGATTTGCTTGCTGCTAGTAAGGTCTGGCGAACTTATAACCTTTGACCATCAATTGTCTCCAGTGAGCGATTACTCAACTGGCATGTCAGCGTACTTCGATACGCATTCAGAACAGCTAGCTTTGTCAGTTGGATGGTGTCCATGCGCTCACAGCGTCATCGTAGGCGTCCGCCAAAACGCATCCGCATGTCAGCACATACAAGTGCTTGATCGGTGTCCACACATGTGCTCCAAATCGAGCGACAGTTCTGGATGCAACCTCTCCAGCGGTAACTGATAGCAATGTGATCGATTTGCGTCCATAGCTGGTTCGAGACTGGTGGGCGCCAAGTCACCCTCCGGCGGATGCTGTGTCGGAAGTTAGTGCTCGCAAGAAACAAGCGGGCATCTTCACACAAGAGAAGTAACCGCTCACCGTTATCATTACGCGAGCCTACACCATGTTGGCCGCCCAGATGCATTTCATCAGTGGACAACTTTCCAACTTGTGCGTTCAGATCCTGCGCCAGCACAACAGTGTCCGTGCTACTTCTGTGGCGAAGGAGCTGGGTCATTTGGCGGTAGAAGTCGTTCTTTACCGAATCATCGCTACAGTTTGTGTGCGCGTAGGCAGCGATGATGAATAGACACCTATTAGTCCCGCGCGACTTCGAAGCTTTGAACGAGCCATCCAGCCGGACCGCACACATCTGCTTAATGATTGGAATCCAGTCAACCAGAGCAGCTTCAGCCCGGGGACTCAGGGCAATGCTAACACCAGCTTGGTCGGTGCTCGGAGCTGCATCGTCACCGGATAGGCGCACTGAAAAAATACTGCTTGCGTCACCTGAAGGAGATCGCAGAGTGAGCACAGAGCTCTAGTCTTGCAGATGGGTCTCTGATAAGCAGCAGATATCGATCGAGAGGGTCTCCAATATTCGGGCAAGTGCTGCCTGTTGACCGATCTGTAGTAATGTGCGTACATTGAGGCATGTCAATCTGAAGGAGGATCGAGGGCTCCAAATGGAAACCGATGTACTGGAATGGACCGCTTGGTTCGACATGGGCTTGTTGACAGGACAGGAATGACGCTCCGCGTTTACATATGAGTTGCAATTAGAAGCTAAATGCCAAGCAAAGCATGTTGGGGGAGGTCCAAGAATCGGGGGTTGAAAACTGGGGGGATATACGTGAAGTTGGAACGGGACGATAAGATTGAAAATGCGTAAGAGGCGGAATAAGAAGACGGGAAGTGTTGCGCAGTAGCATCCAAACCCCTATCCACCCTGCTCGATGCAGCAGATAGGGCACCGTTGATTATCCTCTGCGGTGGCGAGAGCATCAAGAAAATGTTTGCTGAATGTTCATAGTATTGCGTGGGCAGGATACTGCCTGGTTTCCCAGGCCTAGACAGGAGAATGATTAAGGTTCTCAACCAAAACCTTTGGTTTAAAAACCTGTCCGCAAGGCAGCGGGTTTGGCTTTGGGATAGAAGGAGTCCGTTTTACGGAATAAGGTGACAACCTCATTCCAACCTGGAGGACCAGGAGGCTGAGTTTGTCTGGCCTCTAATCATTGACCAATCTGGGATGAGAGACTCTGAAGGTGCAAAAATGCACCACCCAGCATAGCCCAAATGGATCGCTGAGACACAAATCATCGCACTCCGGTAAGTTCCAGCCTTATTGCGTGACTATGGGACACAGAGCGAGGGACAACTATATGTACTAAAATAACATCCGTTCTCTGCGATGGGTTCCCGATGCTACCTTTGCTTTCGCTTTGCACACAGGAATGTTAAGAAGCTATTACGATTCCCTATGGCAGAACTTGTTATGACGGCTTGTGCTATTGGATGGCATCACTGACTTACCATCACACAGGTAACACTAATCAAACAAACGCAGAAGTCAGCACACCGATTGGCAAAGTATGCAATCCAATTCACTAAAAACCAACGCCTTCTAAGGCTCTGTCATCAATGGTTACGGTTTATGGACTGGTCCCATCATTTGGCATTGATTTCGCGACTTCACAGTATTCTTGCAGGACAACCAACCACCTGATAATCTTGATGAGGAACTGTTGATTGATAATGTTTTAACTGAGTAAACGCCGCTGTTATGATTGCGTAACGCCTGATAAGATTGTCACTGGCACGGTTGGAGCACGCATACGTTAACGGGTTGGAACACTGGCCAATCGAACGGATTTGCGCTGACCTGATGGCGTTAGCTTAGCCGGGGTACGCGCTGGTGAGACGGAAATTGAGCGAGCGTGAGAACGATCCTAGCCGCACGTATTCGGGTAGACGCTGAGCCCTCGGAACGGACGCACACGAGAGGGGGTTACGGTAGACGCGCACTAGTGACTTAGACGCGGACGCTGCCCGGCTATCGACGCACACAAAACCACGTGACCGACCGACTCCCAACTAAGGCGAAGAGAAAGGCAAGTGGTCCTCTGAAGGCTCTTTTACTACCAACCAAGGTCAAATCACAGCCAATACAATGGGTCATTAAGTTAGGGAAAATAGCTACCACGATGGGGTGGTAGGTTGTACAAGAGCATTGTCGACAGGTGCGCAGCTGGGTCGCGTCTCGGAGGGGCTGAACGCTGCTGCGTTGTGGGGAGGAATTTGACCCCGCTTTCTACAGCCACTATGCCGGAGTTTCTGGTGCGTTTTTTGCAGGGATATTTGACGGGCCCTCAACAGTTAGTCAAATCACTTTTGGAAATATTGCTGCAAGCGAACATATTTTTTTGTTACTTCTATTCTCTTATATGCGGTAAAACCAAAG